GTTTGGTCAAACTCATGCCGGTAACCTCAAAAACACTATCCAACCATCAGTAGGGCTTACTTCCTGGTAAACTTGCATAGGATCTGACTAGAAGCCTCTCATTTATGTGTCAAAATGCTGGCTTTACTGCAGCCCTCTAGTGATAATATAATCCTGTAACCTGCAGAAACACCTGCCATTCATGACGGCATTTGAAGAATTTAGAGGAAGTATAGCCATATCTCTGATTTTTATTACTGAATGATGAACCCAAGTTTCATCCCCACAGTAATCAAAATCAAACAAGCTAAGCGAAAAACAAACATAGCCCCCAAGTGGTTACAAAAACAAATAATGGCTTAAGTAGAGAAATTACAGAAGCACCATTAATACAAAACACAAATTTATTCCTTTGTGCAGGAAAAAAGAAAACCCACTGCTATGAGCTAAACAAATTAGCCACTGCACTGGGTTGTACAGAAATCATAATGTAATTATGAATGCTGAATTTGTCAGCTAACAAAACAGGGCAGCTTCTCCAATCCAAATACTTTTGCATCTGATCTCCTGTGTGCACTGATTGTCCTGTTCATTACAAGGGTGGAGAACTGCATGCTTCAACCAGCATATTGAATAGGGCCTTTTATGCATGGATCCTGCACTTGGTAAAGATGGCTGGATGAAGCCTTCTAAGCCAGCCTTCTCCAACCTAGTGAACTCCCTATACTAATCCACAAGAGCCTTGCAATAAAACAGACATTGCTGTTAGTAATGAGCCACAAGTGACACCAAAGCAAGAAGCTTCTGAGCATATTCAGAGTGCCTTGCCCAAAGTAAAAAGAGTCATTTAGTTTCCTGCATGGTATAGGGGAAGGAAGCCGCTGGGCATACACAGAAGCTTGTACTCAGAGTAGAGCCACAGACACTAAAAGACAGGATAGCTCAATTGGTTAGAGCATGGTGCTGATAATGCCAAGGTTGAAGGTTTGGTTCCTGTAAGGGACAGCTGCATTTTCCTGCATTGCAGGGAGTTGGACCAGATGATCCTCAAAGGTCTCTATGATTCTACGACATGAGTAACTCAGGACCATTAATTTCAGTGGGTGTTCTCTGAGCATACATTAGAATCATAGAATAGAATCATAGAGTTGGAAGAGACCACAAGGGCCATCGAGTCCAACCCCCTGCCAAGCAGGAAACACCATCAGAGCACTCCTGACATATGGTTGTCAAGCCTCTGCTTAAAGACCTCCAAAGAAGGAGACTCCACCACACTCCTTGGCAGCAAATTCCACTGTCGAACAGCTCTTACTGTCAGGAAGTTCTTCCTAATGTTTAGGTGGAATCTTCTTTCTTGTAGTTTGGATCCATTGCTCCGTGTCTGCTTCTCTGGAGCAGCAGAAAACAACCTTTCTCCCTCCTCTATGTGACATCCTTTTATATATTTGAACATGGCTATCATATCACCCAGGGACGCGGGTGGCGCTGTGGGTAAAAGCCTCAGCGCCTAGGGCTTGCCGATCGAATGGTCGGCGGTTCGAATCCCCGCGGCGGGGTGCGCTCCTGTTGTCCGGTCCCAGCGCCTGCCAACCTAGCAGTTCGAAAGCACTCCCAGGTGCAAGTAGATAAATAGGGACCGCTTACTAGCTTACTAGCGGGAAGGTAAACGGCGTTTCCGTGTGTGGCTCTGGCTCGCCAGAGCAGCTTCGTCACGCTGGCCACGTGACCCGGAAGTGTCTCCGGACAGCGCTGGCCCCCGGCCTCTTGAGTGAGATGGGCGCACAACCCTAGAGTCTGTCAAGACTGGCCCGTACGGGCAGGGGTACCTTTACCTTTTATCATATCACCCCTTAACCATTAGTTGGTCACAATGCAGAATGCCTTGCACCCACCGACCAAAAGGAGAAATATAGTCATGAAATTGCCTGCAGCTCAAGGGAAAGGCAGCTCTGAGCATAACTTACTGAACCTGCACAGCTTTTGCTACCAAACTATTGGTATATCAACACAATTCCAGGATTTTATTTTATTTTTTGTAAGAAGTGCAGTGGATGTTGAAAGGGGAGGGAGCATACCTAGATCACCTTGCGGAGAAAAATGTAGCAATGGAGTTGCTTGCATGGTACAAGAGAATGAAGGCTCTGGGCATACACTGAGTGCAATATAACTAGCTGAGATTGCACAGTCTGTTCTTCTGGACTGCAGGTATTTCAGAAAATTTGCAGAGGAGAGGAAGCAATGTGTGTTGAAAGTGGAAGGAGCAGAGATGCAAGTTAGCCACAGTGGGCAAGCCCACTTTGTGTACAGAGGTCAATGATTTAAAAGCAGCTCTTGCTGTCTGCACAGTTTGCAGTTGCGTGTGAAGACCCCCAAGGCCTCCCAAAGAAAGACACAGTTGACACCAATATTAGTTTAAGGTTATTGGCATAATTTTGGCCACATCTTTATTGATTGCAGAATGTGAGTGCTTTGCTTAGGCACTGGTTCGACTAGCTGCACCTACACCTCCGGCAGGGCAGCACTGACAACTGGACACCGGCAGAAGTCAGTAAGGGTAAACATACCAGGGGAGCACTGGTCCTACAACAGATGCAACCTCACCCCAAAATGCTCCTAGGTGCTCTGGCGTGGCCCTAACCCCTGGAAGGGGATCGGACAAAAGCATGGTGAACACCTGGATTCCTTTAATGGAATACCCTATCGCACATTGGCAGGGGCAGGTGTGACAACCTCCCCTCCACCACACCTTGATGCAATCCCTAACTGCCAAACCTTACAAAGTTGTGACGATTTGCTACACGGCAGGCGAAACCCAAGTGGCACCAGCCAATCCGCCAAATGGGGAAACTCCTACCAGGTCCCTGCCCCCAAAAGCAGATGACCCACGACAGCATAGAAAAATCATAGCAAGACCCCAAATCCGATGCACGAGGTGCTAAGAGGAAGCTCGACGCAACGTGCAGCGGCATAAATAGGTCCCCTGGCTGCAAATTCTCTCAACCCCATTGGCTAGAATTACCCCAGCAACCGAGGGACCAATCGGGTTGTTGTGGCTATCCAGACGGTCCCACCCACACAAACAGTGAGGTTGGTCTTAGTGATCTCACCGCAACACGTGCCCTCCGTGATGAGGACACAATTTATAGACACTTGCAAAGTGCTTTTGGAGAACCCTAAACTAAGGTTACCAGATTTTCTTTCAATGAATTAGGGGACACTTTTCAACTTCAATGGATTTTGTATGGGGACTGATTTGTAAATCCGGGGACTGTCCCCGGGAAATGGGGACTTCTGGTAACCTTACCCTAAAGCACAGCAGTTCAATGGCTACAGTAATTCACAGTATATGAAAAAGTACCAGCTTCCTGTCCTCCCCACTTTCAGCAATGAGACCACACACACACACACACACACACACACACACACACACACGCTCATTTATAGTAACAGATTACCCAAAAGGTTTTTTATTGAAGCTTAGAATGTGCAAAACCTGAAGGAGAAGCTATGAAAACTTTTCAGGGAACATCCTAGCAGCTGATACAGAAAACAGAACATGAGCTTAGCATAAACTCTTCTCTGTTTGAAACCTTACATAAGCTATGGTTTTCTGGCACAAAAATGTAGTCTTTTAATAATTCTTGGCTCCTCTAGAAAGGCTCTCATATCCTACTGTGAGAGGTGCCAACAAAAGAATCTGGAGTGACAGATAAAGTACTTTGCATATGGGTTCTCAAAGAACATTAAACGTAGAGGAACAGAGCCAAGAGGTCAAGCGACTTTCAGAAGCGACACTGCAGGCAGGCAAGACACACAGGCATTCGGCACATGGAGAGATATGAGCAGAAAGCAAGCTCCCAACATAATAACACATGTCCACCCTGTTTAGCTACTTTAAAAATATTTATTTTCCAAGACAAATCTGGTTCTTAAAATTACCGGTACGTTAGCCGGATCATGTAAAAATTAAGTAAAAAAGTACTTTACCGAAATTTTGCCTCATTGATTTCAATGGAACAGAATAAAGCTGCAACTACCCCAGTGAAATCAACGGTGTCTGTTATGCTTTAACTTTAGCTTGATTGTTCCCATTAGTATTCAAACGTGCACCAGTGTCAACCAAGACATCTTTTTAGTACCTAGAGCCAGCCAAACTGCATGCACAGGAAACCCAACGTATTGAAGAGTTCCCTCATTTATTGCAATATCAGGTACGGATCTACATATGCACCCCAATATACACGTCAGGCACATGAGAAATACCTTAGAGCTTTCACTTGGCAGCATAATGTTTTCTGCCATAAAATCTAAAGCAAGGTCCAGTCAATCCAAAAGTTTAACACTGAGATTTGGAAATGAAATAAAGCACCAAGGAAACAGAGACAACCATGCAAGCACAAACTCCCTTTGGTATTTATTCTGCCGTTGACTGACTGTAGACCCCTTCCATGTTTAAATTTATCTCCCTTACCTATTAAGCCCAGGATATGTGTCAAAAGCTTATAGCTGTTTATCAACGTAGCTCTCCATTGAACAGAACAAAACTATTCTAACTTCCCCAGATTTATGGCTTTCGATACAAAAATTCTAACATGGCCTAGATAACAGTAAAAAAAAGAGGAAGTCCAGATATTATCATTCCAAGCAAAGGAAAACAAATTGTTCCAGCAAATTATTTCACACCTAAGAATTTCCCACTCAAACCTATAGCAAAAAGTAAGGAAAACATATGCCATTTGCATTTCATACATTCAAATGCAAATAAATGTATGAAAACTCACCATTTTGAGTGAATAGCATACTAATTTTCAGTTCCCTTAAGGCAAGGAAGAAAAATGAAGACTTCAAACCAAAGTCTCAGTGACAAAATAATGCAAGTGGATTAAAGAAATAAAATATTTTTCAGGAATATGTTTTGCGCCTTAAAGGTACTCAAGCAAGTAACAGGTAGAACTGATGTGTATAACACAAAATGTAATAATAGCACCATGGTTTATTTGAAATTTGTCTCTGTTGCTTACTTGTTCTTTGACTGATGCCAGAATGGCAGATGTGGTCTCTGTTTCAGATCCATCTCCGTTAGATGTATTCAGGACAGGGCTAAGGGAACTTGTCTTGTCAGAAGACGATGGCTGGTCTGGAACAGGCATAGCTCCTGTAACACAGAAGCAAGGCATAATTAATTACACATCTGGTTTTATCAAGAATTCAAAATGCATAGAAATAGATGACCTGGTTTCAAGAAAGACATGTCTAAAGTTGCTTCTTTTTTTGGTTGATGGCCAGAATTGTTTTCTTTCATGGAACTTCCCCTTGTATTTTTCACACACACCTTTTCTGTTTTCATGTATGGTGACTCTAAGATTTCCTTTTGCAACATGCACAATACCAAAGGTGGCACATGTTGCCAAATACTTTGATTAGCCTCTATGTGCTCCATGAGGTGTTTTTTTTTTTTTAAATCCTTCAAAGAGTTCAGGGCAAAGTGTATAGGGAAGTCATCCTACTTTATTCTCACAACCTTGTAAAACAGGTTAGTCTGAGAGACAGAGGCTACCCAAAGTGAGTTTCACAGCTGAGCATACATATGTGTGAACTCAGATCTCCAGAGTTCAAGCCTGACACACTGTTCACTACCCCACACTGTCTTCCTATGGCTCAAGTTGCCTCTGTCTGAGAAAATACATGTCCAATATCTCTGAGTGCATGGAAGTAGTTGTGCAGTCCTTTTGATCCTAGCCTTACACATTTGCTGTTGTCACGAATTCAAAGTATTGTTGTGAGTTGGGGGGGGAGGGGGCAGAGAGGGCTGTACACCAAGACCCTTCTAGTTCCTGGATCCAGCAAGTGTTAAAAATCTAAGCAACGATTCAATAGCCAGACAAGTCTCTTGGTAATGGCCCTCTTAAGCATGGTAAGAAAGAAAGTGGCTCTGTGCCAGACAGCAAATGGATGAGGGGGCCCCTCCTTCAACTTGCTGGTAGTAAGAAAAGACAAAAGCCAGACCTGTGTCGTGTGTGTGTGTGTGTGTGTGTGTGACATAGTAGCTAGAAGAAGAAGAAGGCTGAAGCCTGTGTGGTTTTTTGAAAAGAAGAAATGAAATGTAGTACTTGCTCTTGGAGATTTTTAGTCCTTTGTCATGAAGGAGGGGTGGGGGGGAAAGGCAGTGCTAAAGAAGTTAAGTCTCAATTTAATGGTGTTAACACTTCTACAAGGATACTCCCATTATTACTTTGTCCCCTTTGTACCCTAATGAATTATTCACCAGATCTGATTTCCAGTTTGTGTACTAGGCATGAATTTAATATTTAGCTATTTTTTTTATATAAAAAACGAATAGTATTAAGAACTTTTACATCTAGAAAGTATTGCTGCTTTAATTTAGCAGAAGGTGCTGGTGTTAACACAGGTAAATCTAAATGGTTAGGTACCAAAATGCCTAAAGGTGCTGTCCCCCTCATATGAATCCATCAATCTGCTAAGATAATGATCTGAGAGCTTACTTTAGGTCACCTCTGACTTTGGAAGTTAAGTAGGTTTGTTACCAGGCAGGCTAGGCCTTTTTTGTGGCGGCACCTTGACTGCAGGATATCCTCAACGACAGAATATTCTGAACAAACATCTTTGCGGTGCCAATGATCTTTTCTACTAGGTACCAGGTTAACAGTCTTGTTTTTTTCTCCTGAGCCTTTGATAGTAAATAATGCAACCTGCTTTCCCAATTTTTCTTGTTGCTTATTCATTGCTGATGGATCAGATGTAAAGCAGCCTCGAAAAACCACTGGTGGAATAATAAGGCTGAAACGTGGTTAAATAACGCTTCACAGAAAATGAACAGGTTCAAGTGTTAACTGGCATTTAGATGCTTCTTACTGTGTACTAGCAAATGGCCTGTCAGTATGATAACAAGCTGCAGTCGGTGCGTATTCAAGGAATCAGTAGGGGAGGCGTCTGTGCACTCCACAGAGCCTGTCAGCTTTTACACTAGGCATCTACTATGCATATGCTTCCTATAGAAATAATGCAAACTGTGTGCCCATGATTACATGAAGGAGACAGAACAGCAACTCTGAGATTGTGTATTTAGTGTAGCAACTCCTGTCTGCCTGTGCAAAATTGCAGTGTTCTCAACAGGGCATCTCCCTGCTGCTTCTATTATTTCTCACATGACGAGTTGAGATTTCCCATGCAGTTCGGATATGAAGAAGTCCTCTTCCAAAAGGGTCATTGTCCTCCCTGTCCCCACACCCCTGCCAAACACACAATGGGCAATTGAAATGACTGGGTCCTAGGAACCTTTAGAATTTAGTCATTCCTCCAGAATGCATTGGGGTTACGTGTAAGTTAGGAACACACGAAGGTGCCTTATACTGCCTCAGACCATTCAGACAAGCCAGGAGAGCACGATTAGAGTCCAAAAACATATTCAAGCCAGGCAAAGCACTCAAAGAAGGGTGCCAAGCCAGCAAGGGGTCTGGCTCAGGAGGGTATATAGCCTGGGGAAAATCCCAAGGGGTAGTTAAAAGGGCCTGTTTTTGCCCCCCCCCCTCCCCGGCCTGAGGTTCTCCATCTCTCTGGCAGGGAAAGCAATAGCAATTAAAAAAGAGTGAGATGTATTTTCTTATAAAGGGCTTTTTTGGGGGGAGAGTATTTTCTCCTAAAAATTTTTTGGGGGTGGGGGTGGCATATTTCCATTTACCATTGGAAAGCACCACTTTCACCTTGAAAATCAAAACAGGATGTTTGGTGTTTGGTGCAACCAGTTGGAATGAGAAGAACTACATTATAAAACTATAGCAGGACTGTACGTTGCTTTAAAGTTTGCTCATATGAATTAGCAAATGAGAAGTTTCCATTGTGTTCGATCCAAAATTTCTGTTCCATGAACAGAAGGTCTCCTTCAGTTCACAGAAGTTATTTAGATCCAGTGGAAGCTCCTTTTCAGAGGGGTTATGCCATTTTCAGCAATTTCCTGTTCCCTCAGAATTACCACCCATGCCAGTGTTTCTCAAACTTGGGTCTCCAGCTGTTAGGCTACGACTCTCATTATTCCTGACCATTGGTCTGGCTAATAATAATAATAATAATAATAATTTGTTATTTATACCCCACCCATCTTGCTGGGTTTCCCCAGCCACTCTGGGCAGCTTCCAACCAAATATTAAAAACAATACAGCATCAAACATTAAAAACTTCCCTAAACAAGGCTGCCTTTGGTTGTCTTTTAAAAGTAAAATAGCTGCTTATTGCCTTGACATCTGCTGGGAGGGCGTTCCACAGGGCAGGTGCCACCACTGAGAAGGCCCTCTGCCTGGTTCCCTGTAACCTCACTTCTCGCAGTGAGGGAACTGCCAGAAGGCCGTCAGCACTGGACTTCAGTGTCCGGGCTGGGCGATGGGGGTGGAGACGCTCTTTCAGGTATGAATGACGGTAGTTGTAGTACATCAATAGCTGGAGACCCAAGTTTGAGAAACACTGAATGCTGTTCCAGCATGTACTACAACCATCCAGAGCAGATTTGGGGTGCCATAGGAGGCTGCAAGAGAAAGGAGGAAATAAAGGGGGGGACCTCTACCTCCCTTACATCTGTAGGAACAGTACGTATATAAAAACTTGTTTTACAGGAAAGACAAATGGGTGTTACTGTACATAGTGAAAATGTGGGTGTTGATTTCAAAACATTTGAGATATATATATCAATCAATCAATCAATCAATCAATCTTTATTACGGTCCAGAGACCCAACAAATCATTACAAATCAATACACAATTCGTACAGTCTACCTCCAGGTTAGTCAAGCATTTTGTTTAGAATATAGGGCTCATTTGTTCTTGCAACCACCGATAAAAACTTTGCATCAACATAGAATTTTTACTTTGTGTGTTACCAGTTTTCTACAATAGCAACCATTGGAAATACTGTATTTTGCAAGAAAATGCATCTTTAAGCATGGTGGGAGAAAGGGAATAAGAAGGTAGATGAAGAGATACAATACACAGAACATGTAGGACCTGTTAATTCATGCCTAAGGCATGAATTAAATCATGTGTTTACTATGCACTGTATTGCATTTCAAGATTTTGAATCAAATTAGTTTAGCAGTAATTGATTTAAATGCTTGCTATGTAATAAGAATTCATTACTGCTCCACTTTCAGAATATACCTGTTGAATAATTTTTCATTGTTTAAGGAGATACCAAGGGACTTTTATTGTTTTGCTTATTGTATTATGATGGTTTAATTAAAGCTTTCTATTTGATATTCCTAATTCAGTGCAATTGCTTTTTGATAATTTGATATTTGCATAAATCAATATTGGCAGTTCCTTAAAATGCAGTGTTTGAAATTTGTGCACCTAGCAATCAACCTGAATATTATCACCTGGAATAAGAAATATAGTAACCATAGTGTTCATGAACTATCAAAACTGGGGCTTAATGTACAGATGGAAGGAGCCACTGTCAGGATCCAAGCATTGTGTAGGGTATATGATATTGACGTTCTCTCCCAACAAATGGCATCAACAAGGGCAAACAATACAGTTTCAGTACCATGGCCAGGCATGAAGCCAGACTTGAATGGATCCGAGTAACCAGTTTCCTCCAAGCATGCCTGAAGGTAGACTACCACCACCTTCTCAAGCACCTTGCATAGAAAGGCTATATTTGCCCCTGGGCAGTAGTATTTTTACTTCCTTTTCCTATTGAACAAACACATTCTGGGAAATAAGAGCTTATTCCAAGGGCGCAGCAATAAAACTGCTAACACATTTGCAAAGCTAAGCAGGGTCCGGTCCGGTTTCGAATTGGATGGGAGATGGTGTGTTGCTATTCCTGCATTGCAGGTGGTGGGACTAGCTGACCCTACTCTACAATGCTATTATTCTATGAGTAAGAAGCCAATTATTTTCAAAAGGTACTCAAATTGTCACAATTATATGGCACTTAAGGGTGTTACCTTCTTAGTAAACAGTTAGCATAAGCTAATTCCAAATATGATGTAATAGCAATACAATGCAAGCTTGAATTTTTTTCAAATGAACACTAATGAACAGATTACTCTGTAAAAGGAGAACCAAAGGGGGCAGGGGCGGAATCAATACATTCTCATGCTACATACTTTTAAGGCTTCAAAAAAGGTGGTATAATGGAAT